GGATGATAATATAGATGGTAATGTGGATGATAATATAGATGGTAATGTGGATGATAATATAGATGGTAATGTGGATGATAATATAGATGGTAATGTAGATGATAATATAGACGGTAATATAGGAGAATGCTTTGCAATCAGAGAAGTTTTTTATTACTAACGTTCAAAAGATATAAGGACATATTTCATTAATCCTCTATACATCAACATTCAAGAACAATGTGTAATGTTATTTAGAACTCTGCTGACTTCTACTCATTAATTATTAATCGAGGAGAATTAGAACATAATGCATAAACAATTGTGAAGTTATACGAAATAGCAGCTTTAAGTAAGTTGTATCATTACCAAGTAAAACCTTTGCGTGAGTGGACAGCTCATGAAATAGAACATTTAAGGGAGCACCTAATGATAAATCGACAAACGACGGAGAATTTCTGAAGGTGTTCCTTTGGAATGTTTTCCTGACTAAACAAATTACAGAAAAGCGGATCCGAGTTTCCATTTGCACACTTATTTATTAACCGTCCTGGTTATTCGGGGGTAAGAGAAAATGCATTACATGAAAAGCGGGAAGATAAATCTCTCATAGCTGTGAGAAACCGAAACTTCCCAAATAACAGCAACAACATGAATATTAACTTGTTAAACTCCAAAGCTTCTAAGATTTATCGAAAGTAAGTAATTAAAAGCCCTTTGGTGGCTTATCTGCAAGCTTGAGGGCTTATAACGCTAAAATTCAATGTTCGATTCCTGTGGAGCTTTGCTCCAGAAAACAATCATTTAAATACTTAGAAAATACCACCTGTAATTACATTCTAATACCAAGCTGTTCTAAGTAAGTGAAATATCACCCAAGTATCATATATCAATTCGTGTTGAAAATTACCAACAAAATTTAGATATTGGTAAAATAACTTGCAAAAGACACAGTGTTAAAACGTTAAGATACTAAAAAAAACAAACAATTAATAAACAAGGCTTACCTATAAATTACGCAATGAAACATTCGATTTTCGTCACTTGCTCGTTTCACCCTACACTATTAGAACAGATGCACTTTGCAAGTAGGGGTGTTCCACAGTTTATTTAACGTTAAGATGACGTGAGAAAAAAATAATTTTCTTCCGTAAATGTTTATATCAAATGAAGCTTTGCTGCATTTTGTTAAAATTTCACGAAAAAGTAAAAGCAGCGTTATCGAAATGTGGAAATAAATGTTTCAAACGATATAAAAGAGAAGAAAAACTATCACCAACTTTTCTAGATTCGAAGAAATCCGATTTGCTGAAATTCTTCTCTACAAAATCTCTTCCTTGCATTACTTCTAATCAACTCTGGTTGCTTAGAAATGGGTTTTATATTCCATAGTTTAAACGTTATTGTTAAGAAAAAATTACCAGCGTGACAAATTCCTAAATCAATGCAAATATTTGTACTTCTTAAATTTAATGCGGCTTTATCTACAGATGCATTTGATTTGTTAAGTATACAATGAATCTGACGTGTAACGAATTTGTTGTTATGTATTTATTTTAATATGAATGTTGTTTAGATTAAGTTTATATTCAGAAACATACATAGCTTATACTGTTAGATAGGTATTGCGAAAATCTCACCTATTCTCCAAAGTTGTAGAAGATTCTCGCGAGTAAGAATCAACAATATATATATATATATATATATATAT